GAGCCTTGCACAAGCCCAGCCCTCTCATCTACAGAAGGGGGCCTCGGGGCACCTCTGGGTGTTGAGTGCCCACCCCCCTCAGGGAGGGGGTCCCAGCACACGGAGGCTGGTTCGTGATGGGCTCATCAACCACTAACATGTCAGTAAGCACATATAGCTGAGAAGAGGCTGGGAGGAAGATTCGCGGTGAATCCTGGGTATTTTCTTTAAATAATTTTTTTTTTCAGCAGTGCCATGCTGCTTGTGTGATCTTAGTTTCCCAAACAGAGCCTGGGCCCTCAGCAGTGAGCCCACGGAGTCCTAACCACTGGTCTGCCCTGAAAAAGTGAAAGTCGCTAGTGGTGTCCGACTCTTTGCGACCCCATGGGCTATACAGTCCGTGGGATTCTCCAGGCCAAAATACTGGAGTGGGTAGCCATTCCCTTCTCCAGCGGATCTTCCCAACCCAGGGGTTGAACCCAGGTCTCCCGCATTGCAGGCAGATTCTTTACCAGCTGAGCTACAAGGGAAGCCCAAGAATACTGGAATGAAATAGAAAAATGGGGTTAGTGATGAGAATGAAGACAGAATCTCCCCTGGTCACTCTCCTGGGGAGTCTGGCCCTCCGCTCGCTGGTCTGGGGTAACTGAGCACGGAGAAGGGGTTCAACACGGCGTCCCCAGGGGAACCCTGGCCCAGACCACCTGGCAGCTGCTACCATATGGAATCGGCTCCCGGCAGGATGCTCTCAGCCTGTCCACAGCCAAAGCACCTCTCACCCGTGTGACGCCCAGAGGGATGGAATGCTCATGACGCACTTCTTGGTTTGTGGAAAACCTTTCAGGCTGGAGGCGCAAGTGAAGGAGACTGACGCCTTAACCCAGAACCTTTCCCAGGAGTCTAACCTGTCCACGGGCTGCAGCCTCATCCAGGACACGCTAGGGTGACAGCAGCTGGCTTCCAGGGACCCGGTACAAGGACCCTCAGAGGGGCAGCAGCCCCCCTTCCCTCCCCTAGGAAATTCTGTCTGGGTCCCCAGCCTAGGAGACAGGCACTTGGGGGTCTTGTTTATCTTACAGGGATAAGTAGAAACACACATTGACCTGGGGTCTCCAGATCCAGCAAATACAGGACACCCAGCTAAATCTGAAGATCAGATAAAAAACAAATAACATTTTAGGATAAACAGGCCTCCAAAACTGCATTTCTTTCTGTTTTACTGGGCAGCCCAGCCTGACCTCCGTTGACACTGACAGCTGAGGGGGTCGAGTCCAGGAAAGAAGCGGGGGCCGCTGCCTGCAGCTCTTGGTGGTGGGGAGGAAGGGGCGGGCGTGGGTGGGGGCGGCAGGGAGGCAGTGAGGGCGTGTGAAGTCAGGGTCTCCTCTGAGTCCCCAGAATGGGCTGCAGTGCTACAGCATGGAGATCGATGTCTGGAGTGAGGACAGGAACATCCGGCAGGGTGAGAGCCAGGAGGCCGGGGTCCAGTCCGCTGCCCCGTCACCAGCCATGTGACCCTGGGCCTCACTGGGCCCAGATGTCCTCAGCTGTGGAATGTCATCCTCGTTGGGCTCTGACACTCCCCAAGCCTGGTCCTGAGAACAAGGCTGGGCACGCCCCACCCTTCACCTCAGCTTCCCCGCTCCCCATTCCCCAAGGTTCTGGGCTCTGGGCTCTAGCAATGCCGCCCCATAGATTTGGCCTCCGAGGGCCAGGAGGCTGGAACGACCAGAAGAGAATGGACAACTGACCAGCCAAGGGTTTTCTCTGGACCGGTTCTTTTCCTCAAGCCCCTGGATGGTGTGTCAGATTCACTTTGCTTCATTCTATTAAACACCCTCTAGGTTAAATTTTCTTGACTTGTGATGTGTGTGTACATGTGTGCTACATGGCTTCAGGCAGGGCCAAGAGTTTGCAACCTGTGGACTGTAGCCCGCCAGGCTCCTCTGTCCATGGGATTGTCCAGGCAAGAGCACTGAAGTGGGTTGCCATGCCCTTCTCCCGGGGATCTTCCTGACCCAGGGATCAAACCCTTGCCTCTTACGTCTCCTGCATCGGCAGGTGGGTTCTTGATCACTGGGTGCCACCTGGCAAGGCTGACTTGTGATATAAGTGGTTGTAGATTATAAGTAGTATAAGTAATATGATGATATATATATATATATACACATATATATATGGAGAGGGAAATGGCAACCTACTCCAGTACTCTTGCCTGGAGAATCCCTTGGACAGAGGAGCCTAGCGGGCTACAGACCATGGGGTCTCAGAGTTGGAGGCAACTGAGAGACTGATACACACATATACACATCTCGTCCACGTTTTTTAAATTAGAAGACTATTGCTGAAATAGAATATAAGGTAGAATCACACGGCTTTTTAGAGACCTTTAGAACTTTCCTTTTTGGAATTGTCCTCAGGTACTTGGCATATTTAGATAAAATCCATGCTCGGGGGTGACCAATGTATGTTATCTGAAGTTGATTCAATGTTTCAAGCCTGAGAAGTGAGGCTCTCAGAGGGCTGAGTGTCATTTCTGGTCAAACACAGGTCCTGACAACACAGAAGTGGGGCTGGTTTTGTTAGGGGGCCCCTAAAATGGCACTAACGACCAGTGTATTTTATAAAAACCTTTAGGGGTCACGAGTAATTGCAGGGCTGGTACAGTCCTGCGGCTCAGCCACCGACGCCTACTTCCGCCTTGCCGGCGTCCTCTCTGGGTCTCTCCCAGTTCCCTGCTTCTCGGGCAGCTGGAGGTTCCTCTGAGGAGGGTCCGCGTGCCTGCGCGCCCCCAGCCCCGCCCTCTGGGCCGGTTTCTGGGGAGGCGGCAGGGCTGAAGCCGCCTGGCTCGGGCGCTCTGTCCCTGGGACAGCCCCTCGGCCTGAGGCTCTCCCGGCGCCTCCGTCTCCGCTGCTCGCCCTCTGCTCCCCAGCCCGAGTCCCGACCTGCTGGGTTCCGCCGTCCTGGCTGACACGCGCTGGCTCCGGCATCAATTCTTCCACCGCCCCCCCGCCCCTCACGCCGCCAAATCCCCGTGTGCGCGCAGCTGTGCGCTGTTCCCAGAAGCCTCCTGAGCGGAGCGGAGCCGGGACGTGCCCTGACAGCGCCGGCCCTGAGTCATGTCTGAAGTCCCGCCAGCGGAGAAGGAGCGAGGAGGCCGGGAGGGAGGGCTTCTCACCAGGTGTCAGCAGGCAGGCACCGCGAGGGTGGGGGCGGCGGGCCAGGAGAAACGCTCAGCCCTGCCACACTCAGGCTCTCGGAACAGCCCCTGGGGAGGAGCTCCGCGTAGGCCCTGCCCAAAGGTCTGCTGAGACAACCCCTCACGGCCCACCTGAGGACGCTGCCCGGGGGATGAATCCCCCCCCAGGGCAGGTGAAGCACCCACAGAGGGGAGCGGCGACACCCAGGGCGGTCAGAGCTTGATCCACAGGGCCCAGGGCTCGAGCCCGGGTGCCCAGGTTCCGATTGGGCAACGCACCGCGGTGAAGACACACACACTGCTCAGTCAGCAGCTTACTCATCCTCGCTGCTGGTCCCGTCCAAGGACCTGCCCTCCTCTCTCCTCACCCTTTGCACGGCATTATAAGTCATCTCCAGATTCTGCCCGGTCATCAGTCTATGTGTCAAAGCCCTTTGCTCACATCGGTGCCTGAACTACCGACCTGCTGGGCTCACTGTATTCATCAGTTACTGGCACTGGTGTTATCAACTGACATCAAGAATCTGAAAAAGGAGGGCAAATGAATGCACAGCAAACCTAGTTAAACCTGTGACATGCAAGAAAGGCAAGTCCTCTGTCTGAGCTACCAGGGAAGCCCAGTCCTCCCGAATGAGCCTCAACAAGAACTCAGGGAGGAAGGAATCAAGGGGATGACAGAGAACATCTAACTTGTAGACTATCCACCTCCCTCTTGCTCAGGACCCTGACAATCAGGGTGACATCTGTGAGCAACGTGGGCTCAAAGCCAGAGCTGCCGAAACCCAAGCCCCAGCGCACAGAGCCGAGTCCCCTCGAGAAGCTGTCCCCGATGCACAGGCCTGAGGGGCCTCACGGAACTCCTGGAGCAGTACAGGCTGATGTGGACGTTAACAAAAATAAAGTCACGGAATCTGCAGACTGGGCAGAAACCTGGGCGTCACCTAACCCAGCACCCCGATTTGGAGTGAAGACTCCTGTGCGGGCTTGTGTGGTTGAACCAGAGCATCTGGTTCAGTGCCTGGCGTGGAGTTAGGGCTAAAGAGGTATTTGCCCAGTAATGGGTGATGGGCACCACGGTGAGGCCACAGAGAAGGACGGAGACAGGGCTTGGCTGAAGGCATCGAGGATAGTCTCGTCGTGCTAATCAAAAAAAGTTTCTTAAGAAGAACTATGTTCAGGTTTTTCAATGCATATTGTTTCATTTAGGCCTGACAACAACCCAGAGATAGACTTTGTCAGACCCATCCTACCTGTGGGGGGACTAAGGCACGGAAGACTCTCGGCCAAGGTCGCAAGCCCCATAGCAGCACAACTAGAATCTCAACGTGGGTCTGTCCAACTTATAAACTCAAGCCCTGGGCACATACCCCCTTACTCCAGAGCTGGCCGCCGTGGACGCCCCCGCCCCCCCAGGGGACCTCCAGAGTCCCGGTCTTGGTCATCAGCACCCACTGAGGAGGGGGGCCCCCGGGGGTGTTTCTAGAAACATCTAAGTACGCCCATGACCGGACCACAAGAATCAAACTTCCTTCTGAACCATGAGTAAATCAGACATATGAGAAAATGGACTTAAAAAAAAAAAAGATGCTTTCTTTACACCTTTTCTAAAATGTTCTCATTTGATACATTTAGAAATACCCACTCTGCCCGGAAGGAGTGCAGTAGCGCCACATGTGAAATAATGGCCAAGCAGACGGACTGGTCAGAGATGGGGGCTTCCCCTCGGGAACCCTGCTGCCCCCCACCCCCTTCTCAGCAGCCAGGACGCTTTCTCCTGCTCAAACCGGGGACCGTGCCCGCAAGCGCCCAGGAAGCGGCTCCTTACCGGGTAGCCCCACGAGCCGTTCCCCGCCTGGAACTTGGAGTAGAAGCTGCTCCGGCTGCTGCTCCCGTAGTTGTTGTAGTTGTCGGCCAGGCCATCATACATGGAGCCTTGGGGGCAAGGACAGGGGTTAGGACGGTGCCGGCCCCGCGCCGCCCCCAGCCCTCGTCCCCTGGGCACCGGCACCCTCAGAGGAGACCAGGAGGACGGAGAGCAGCTCTGTGCCCTCCTCTCCCTCTCTGCCCGCCTCCAGCACAGCCGCACCGCTGCGGGCTCAGCTCTCAGGGTCCTGGGCAGCCCCCTTCCAGGGTCTACCTGTGGTGGGCTGGCACCAACAGGTCAGGAGCTGGCCTGGGGGGCCTCGGGCCCCTGCCGCCCCAGTCCAGGGAAACAGGACCCCTCGCTCCACGAGGATGGCCTTCCCGCTCAGGGGAAACAGCCAGGAGGTGGACATGCTGGGCCCAGAGGCTGCAGTCAGGGCCACGGGGCAGCGTCCGAGGATGCGGCCTGCGCCCGGCGGACTCTGGTTCCTGACCCAGATGGGGTAAGGGGCCTCCTTCCTCTCCCAGGTGCCCCCGCCGCCAAAGGGGGAGCAGCCACAGACCTCAAAGGTCCAGGAAGGGGTAATTACTGTTTTCCCAGAGCACGTGGGCCGCAGATGACAGGGTCCGCGGGAGGATGGCGCGTCATTACGATCATTAGGGGCAAAGTGGCTTCAGCTCGCAGAGGGCGGCCTGGACAGACGGCCCCTTCACCAGACAGCTGGAGGGGGGGTGGCCCTCAGGACAGCCCGGCTCTGCCCACTGCCCTAGAAGCTGATGGTGACCTGCCGGGGGCTCCGCTCACGCCGCGTGTTGTGCCAAGCCGGCCTGCCTTCCTCGGCCACAGACGTGGAATCGTAATTGTCCGTGAACCCAAGCTCAAAACCGGGGACCAAGCTCTGCCCAAGGGGCTGTCCTGGGTCCGGACCCCAGGCCGCATGCCGTCTGGCGCCCCATTTCCCGGACCAGGAGCTGTGGCTTGACGGCCTGGGCGTCCACAGCAAGGCCAGCCCCACGCCCCTTGGGCCCTGGGGAAGGCGGATCCCGGCAGAGGGCCCAAGCTCAGCTCCAGGGACAGGGTCTGGCTCAGTCTGCTCCTCCCCGGGGACTGTGCCCCTCAGACCCCCACCCCTCTGGGGGTGGGCGCTGAGCACCTGGGCTGGGAGAGAAGGCAGGGCAGGGGTGGCTTTGCAATGTGTGTCCCCACCTCGGGCCACCTCCTGTCTAGAGCCAGGTGGCCCCGACAGCTCACAGGAGGGGTCCTGCCCCTGACTCCCCAGGCGCCCACCACGGAGGGCTACTGGGGCCAGTGGCTGTGGCAGAGACCCCTGCCCTGCAGCTAGAGGTGTTGAAGCTGGTCCTGGCTCTTGACCTCGGTGGGGGCTCCCCAGGTCGCTCAGTGGTAAAGAACCCACTCGCCAATGCAGGCGGCACAGGAGACGCAGGTTTGATCCCCGGGTCGGGAAGATCCCCGGAGAAGGAGATGGCAGCCCACTCCAGCATTCTCGCCTGGAGAACCCCATGGACAGAGGAGCCTGGCGGGCTATGGTCCATGGGGTCGCAAAGAGTTGGGCACGACTAAAGAGACTTGGCACGCACTTGCACTGGGCCTGGCCTTCCTCTCCTGGAGAGAGAAGGGGTGGCCTCTCTGCACCCCCAGGTCCCGTGGCTGTGTGATCATAGTGACTCTCACCTCACGGCATTCGGGGAAGCCGGCCTTCTTGTCTCTAGAGACAGGCTTCAGCAAGAAAGCATTTGGGCACCAAAGGCTTCATCATCATCTGCCTGGCTGGCAGCCTCAGGGTCCCTCCAGACGTCTGCCCGTTCCAGGGTGCCCCGGGTCCAGGCCTGCCTCCCGAAGGGGCTCCCCGGAGGCTCTGACTCACTCCAAGCTCCCTGGTGACCAGGCAGCCACACCGCCTCCCTTCTCAGGAAGCCGCCCCTCTGAAAGGGCGACCTTCCTCAGGAGGAGTCTGGGGGCAATCTCGCGGGCGTGTACCCCAGGGCAGGCAGCTGACAGCCGGCGTCCTGCCTACCTCCCCTCTGTCCAGCCCACTCCTGGAGCCCTTCTGGGTGGGGTGGGGGGAACAGACCAGGGTCCCAAGGGGAGGAAGTCCTCACCCAAGGGCGGGTGTGGGCCAGCCAGCTGCTTTGGATGGAAATCTGGGCTGGCGACAGACATGGGGTTCTGGGACAGGCATCCCCGGGAGGCTCCACGGAGGGCAGATTCCCACGGGGCCCCCACCCTGCTCAAGAGGGAGGCGGTCAGCAGAGACGTCACTTGTCCTCTTGGTCACCAGCTGAAGCGTCTGCTCCCCAACACCTGCACCTGCCCGCCTCCCTCTTAGTTCCCTCCACGTGACAGCGGGGGAGTTCTCTGCCATGGCTCTGGAGTGCCCTATCAGCCAAGGCCAGTTCCTGTGACCCAGGGGGACTGCGGTGGTGACAGGTGTGGGTGGTAGGTCTCACTTCTGGTTGGACCAAGGTCTCCAGGCCCGTCCAGGCAGCTCCTGAGGGCACCTGCCCAAGATCACCTGCCACTGGGTGTCAGACTGCCTGACTCCCACCACGAGCCACTTGGTTTGGCCTCCTTGTGAGAACGAGGCTGCCATCACACTGGCCAGCACTACTTCTCTGGCAGGAGGCAGCTGCTTGTGGGCTGCGGTTTCGAGGGGAGTCCAGAGACTTCACATACTTGCAGTCACACCTTGCAGTGCGCCAGATACTCGAAGGGGTGCAGGCAGGAGGTGAGCTGTTTGTGAGCACTGTGCCCACAGCAGAAGCAAGGGCTCCCTCTCTTGACCCCGGGGGTCTGGTTGGTAAGCACCACCCTCTGAGTCAAGTGCAGCAGGAAGAACACGGGGCTTCTCCCTGAGAGTGATGGAACAGCTCTGACGGCTTCTCCACGGGCCCCTTGGCCTCTCTGGACGTCACTCTTAGGAAGCCTTCCGCAATGACCCCCACCTGGTCCCTGCACCCATGTCCCCGTCCTCTCGGTGCAGGGCATGGTGGGGTGTGGACCCCCGCCCAGCCCTGGGGCTCAGCGTCCCTGCACCTGCAGCAGGGGGCTGGGGTTCTTCACTCCACTCGACCAGGTCCCCCCGCACCCAGAGAGGTCCCTGTTGGTCCATGAACTGGGAGAGACCGGAGCCAGAATGCCCAAGGCTGCAGCCCTGGCCGGGGGTGGGAAGAAGGGTCCCAGCACCTCTCACTCCACATTCACCCCACCTCCCGGGGGGCATGGCACCCACGTCCTCTCAGGAAGGGCCATGGGCCTCTCTGTCCAACGTGTGTCTGCCAGAGGTGTCTGCCCACCCCCAGAAGTCTGGGGTCAGAGGGGAAAGGTCCGCCTTCCCCGTGGGGTCAGCATTCTCGGCCGCTCTGCCCACACAGAAGCCTCATTCGGGTCAGCGCTCGGGGGAGAAGCCGTCTCAGACCCACCCACAGACGACAGCACCTGAGGTCCTCCCCTTGGGCCGCACAGGGGGCGACTCGCCCCAGGTCACCGGGGAGCCCCCGTCAGGACGCCCAGGACTCTCCCCCCGCCAGGCGGGCGGACCCTCCCAGGGTGAGTCATCCTTCCACCTCCAAGCTTTCCACACCTGCCACACCTGAAACATTCCTGCCTCCTCTTGTGGGCCCCGCCCGTTCCCCCAACCCGACCACGGCCAGCTCCTCCTGGGGAAGACCCCCGGGGGGCCGGGCCTCCCGCGGAGCCAGTCGGCATGCGGCCGCCTACCGGACACACTCTGCGCTGTGTGCGCGCGCGTGTGTGTGGGGAGGTCCCCACCCACGCCAACCCCGGACCGGACTCCACCTGGAGGAGGCCCTCAGGACATGGCCAGCCTGCCGGCCGGGCTGCTCCACAACAGAGTCCCCCCCACCAGCCAGCCCCCACACCCCGCCCCACGAGCCTCCCGCCCTCAGAGAAGGGCACCCCGGGCCGCCCTGCGAGGGCCTGTCTTCCGGCTGCTCTTGCGCTTACGAAGATTCCTCAGCACAAAAGCTTGAGAAAGGACGCCCTCCACCTTTTGGCCCTGAAAACGCCTTTGCTTCACTCCCTAAATCCCTCCCATGAGGGATGCCCAGCAGAGCGGGGCCCACAGTAAGAGGGACTTCGGTGAGAGAGGAGGGAGATGCCTGGGCGCCTGGACCGTCCGGCAGCCTGGCGCCGGCCCCTCCGCCCTCGCCCAGGCCAACAGGGGGCTCCGGACGCGCCACCCAGCCCTGGACGGGGGTGTTCGGCCTGGTCCCACAGCCCCCCGGCACAGTCCTGCCCGCTCCTGCGCACGTGTAGGAACAGACACCAGAGCGGCCTGGGCTGCCCCAGCCCCATCTCCCCCGTCCCTCGCCAGCACACGTGACCCCGAGGGCCGGCCAGGGCGTGCTCAAACCAGCTCTGCTGGAACCTGCTTCTCCTTCTGATGATCTGTGCGCGGCCCCGCTGAGCCTGCGGGTTGGGCCAAGGGCTGGGCTGGCACGGGGGGGCGGGGGGGCGCTGGGCAGGGCTCAGCCCGCAGGGGCTTCCAGAGTAAACGACTGCCCCCAGCTACTGCTGCACCAGATGCCATTTGTATGTGTGAGTGTGTGTGTGTGCGTGCACGGGATGGGGTGATCCCCACATTGGGTCTCTGTCTGAGGGAGGGTGGGGACAAGAACAAGGATTCTTGAACTTTGTTGCAAGTCCACCTGCCCACGCCGTCCCCACAGTAACTGAACCAGAGCCTCCAGGGTGGGACCCGGGCAGGCGCATTCTTTAAAACTCCCAGACGGTGCCAACGTGTGGCCGCGATTGAGAGCAGTCACTGGGAGATATTTTTTGGTGATCCGATGCTTCCTGGAGGGAGACTGGGAGGGCTGTGTCTTGCGAGGAGTGGCCTTTTGCCATGGCAGGTGGTTTGGGGAAACGGTCTGCAGAGGCAGTGAGACATACAATCTGCCTCCAGCGAAACATCTGCGGTGATCGTGCCCCACCTCTAACGGCTGCACAGACCCAGAGAGAGGCAGGGCTGGCCTGAGGTCACACAGCAGCTGGCGACAGCTCCAGAGAGCGCTCAAGCCTCCTGGGACCAGTCGGACTCCCACCACTGCACAAGCTGCAAGTGGGAGTGTGCACGTGTGCACGTGCCTGCCTCAGAAGTGCGTGCAGATAAAGAGCCCTGCACGAGGCTAGCTTCCGCTCCATGGGAAACGTTCCTTCATTTTGTTTTGTTCAAACATCACACACCTTCTAGGAGTCATACCCTATAGCAGAGGTAGCTCCCAGAGTTTTAAACCTAGAGCAACTGGTGTATTGATATTGATAGTTTGGTGTGTGGGGTGAGGAGTTTGTTTTGTTTATTTGTTTTCTTAATCTCTGTCAATGAGCTTAGCAAAGGAGCAGGATGCCGGGAAATGGCATGTACCGTGGAACACCCAGGATACTCGGCATTTTTGCATGTGTTGTAACAGGCCAGTGGAAATGCTGGCTAAATCCTCAGCTCCGAGCCAAGAGGCATTGTGAAGAAAGGAGCACTGGCTCCTGTGAGGTTTAATCAGGACACTTTGCTCTGGGACAGGCTGATGCAGACACCCCGCCCTCCTCGCGCCTCGGCGCTGGTCCCGAGGGAGAAGCCCAGCAGAGGTGTCTGAGCCTGGCCTGTGCCCGGGACGGGACACCTTCCGAGAGAGCGGAGAGCAGACCCCCAGCCCGGGCGCAGGCTTGTGCTGAGACACGGCCCACGCAAGGCCAGAGCGCCGGCCAGTGTGGCCCGAGACGGGGCCGTGCTGCCCCTCCCCCTGGGTGCAAGCCTCCACCAGGAGGGCTTCGGGGAGAGGATGCCTGCCTCATGCACCCCCCCACCTCTGCCTGTCACAGGCAGGAAACTGTGCTGCTGAGGAGGGTGCAGACGGGACCCCCAGCCCGTGGTGACGCCGTCTCGGGGCAGTGGGCAGAGCGGGCGGGTCAGGACTCCCTGGAGTGAGGAGTGGTGTGTGGAAGGGAGTGGGCTCCAGCGCGTGTGTGTGTGTGCACGTACATGTGTGCGTGCACATTCGTGTGTGTGTGCATGTGTGCGTGCATGCATGCGCAGGTGTGTGCGTGCCTGGGTGTGTGTGCATATGCATGTGCGTGGTGGCGGTGGCAGGTTTGGATTTGATTCTGAGCAGGCTTGTTCAGCTTTCAGCAGAGGTTCCAAGGGGAGCGTAAAGGGCATGAGTGCGGCAGAGCCTTCTCTGGGGCCAGACGACAGTGCGCCAGCCTCTTCCCCCACAGTCCACCCCGCGTGGACTCCCCCTTGAGGGGGTCACATTTTCCAGCCCCCATCTCCCACTGGGCGGCCACGTCCCCAGGTTTCTCTTGCTTCCCACCTGGGCTTACATCTTTTGACCACGGGGACCCCCAGGAAGCAAGGGCAGCCACGCTCCAGAGCCCCTTCAGGAAAAGGGGGGGCCAGGTCCCAAGCAGACTCCACCTGCAGGGTCTCCAGGCCTCAGAGACCCCCTCCCTCCCTGGGGACTGCCTGGCTGGGCAGGGCATCTTTCTGGGCCCAGGTTTTGGGGGAGGGCATGGCGTCTGCGCCAGGCCCCTTCCACCATCCTCAATGGCTCCAGGCCCCTCCCGGACCAGGTGGAGAGCAGCCCTGTGGGGCAGGAGCCAGGGCGGGGGCCTGGGAGAATCAAAGACCCCACAGAAGCCTGCTCTCCTGTCGTGGGAAACGGAAGGAGAACCAAGTCTGTCCTGGGGCGGAGGGGGACGGCCTGGCGTGTGGTCCCCCCAGGGACCCCGTCACCCCTCCTGGGAACCAGAGCAGATGGGTCGAGTGAAACCAACGGGACAAAGAGAGACTGGAGCCGGCAGAGGTGGTCGTGGAGCAAACAGGTTGCCAAAAGGAGGGGATCCCTCCGAAGACAAAGCCAGACAAACCAGAAACACCAGCTCCAGGTGCCTGACGGCCTCGCCCAGTTACAGCACCCGCTGGGGAAACTGGTCCAAGCCAAGGCTAAAGGGGACACGCCTAGAGTGTCAGCCCTCAGAGCGGACGCGCCGGCCGTCGGCAGAGTCCACGCGCTCCTGCTGACACCCCCCGCGGACCTCGGGGTGGAGGCTCGGGGAGGGGGGTGGACGTCACCCGCGGCGAGGGAGGCACCCTGTTGGGGCGGGGAGGGGGCATCGGGCACCTCGACTGGCTGTCTTCTCTGGAGCTGTGGCCCCCAGCTCAGGCCAGGGAGGAGCCGGAGGGGAGGGACCGGCGAGTCCAGCCCCAGGGAGAGAGGAAGCCGGCGTGAGCGGTGACCGCGCGGTGCCCAGAACGGGCCACTTTGTTTTCCAGTCCTACTTCCAAAAAAGGCTGGAAGCAGCCACTGAGGCCCCGAGCAAAAGGAAAGGTGGCAAGCGCTCCGGAAGCTGTGACTTTGAGTGGGGGCCTGGCGGGGGAGGCGCCAGGGCGGGGAGCAGAGCCTCAGGAGTTGGGGCTTGGGCGCCGAGCAGTCCTCTGCCAGCCAGCCTCCCACCCTCAGCTCTACCTGGGCCCACTCAGGGGAGAGAAGGAGGCACGGAAGCCGCAACCGCGAGCTGCCGTGTGTGTGTGTGTGTGTGTGTGTGTGTATGTGTGTGAGAGCTGGTGAGTGTGTGTGTGTGAGAGCTGGTGTGTGTGCGCATGTGCGTGTGGGCCGCGGGCGGGGGTCCATCCCCTTTGTCTCCTCCTCTTTACTACTCTCATCGACCCCACTCTCATGAGCTCCCTGAGAGCTCTTGAAAAATATACCTCTTTTTTTTCTTCAATGAATAAATCTTGGTTGACCTGTACTGGTTTACAGTCTGCAGCTTCCTTATTAGGCTTAAACTACTGGGTTTCCCTGGTAGCTCAGACAGTGAAGAATCGGCCCGCAATGCAGAAGGCCCAGGTTCAGTCCCTGGGTTGGGAAGATCCCCTGGAGAAAGAAATGGCAACCAACTCCAGTATTATTGCCTGGAGAATTCCATGGACAGTGGAGCCTGGCGGGCTACCACCCATGGGATCCCAAAGAGCTGTATATGACTGACCGGACTTTCACAAACTTAACTAACTAAATAATTAAGTAGAAGGTACCTGCTGACTTACATGTAATTCTCACTGGGAAGTGCTTTGTATGAAAGTCTGTGGTCTAGAACTTCCACTAAGGTGCCTGTCAGGTATCAGACCTTCTTCCCTGAGTTTCGGGGTCCTGCCCCTTTCTCCTGCCCTCCCCCGACAGCTGGGGGACCTCAGCGCGGCCCATGCCTAGATTAAGGAGTGCCCAGCACCAGTGCCCAGACAGGGGTAGGGGCGGTTCTGACCTCCAACCAAATTGCCTCTGGCCTCTAAGAGGCATACTTCTACACCAGCTGAGTGGGCAGACAGTATCGAGGGAGGGGGGTAGCTCTCAGCCCCGGGAAAGGGTGTCCTGGACCCCTCCCGGGGCTCGGCCCCCAGCGTCCGCGCTGCCCTGGGGCCACCTGGGAACCACACTGCCTCCTCTGGCTGTGAGGCTCCAGCGCTGGGCCGTCACAGGGGCCCCTGCCACCTGGTGCCCGATTGCCGGAGTGTGCGCCCCTCCTGGGCTCTCGTTGGGCTCTGTGACTACCCGCCCATCCCAGCCAGGCACTGGGCGCCCCCCTCCGCCCCGGACTGGGACCCCACAGCTAAGTTCGTGAACGTTGGGGTGGGAGGGGTGAGGGGCGCACGACCACGGGCGGCTGGGCAGGATCGGACTCTGGGAGAGACCCTCGGAGCCGGCTGGGGAAGAGAACCCCTGGACCAGAGGTCGGTCCTGACTGTCTGCGGCTGAGCGGTCAGGGCCGCGGCTCCAAGGTGGACCAGAAGGCCGGGGGCGCCGCTGGGGCGCTCCGCGCGGACCCTGCCCCGAGCCCCCAGATGGGGACGCGCGCACCCCTCGCGTCGGGGAGGGGCGAACGACCACGCGGGCATCCGGCCTTTACCTCGGTTGGAGTGACTCAGGGTGGACGACTGGGAAGACTTGGATTTCTGCCGCTTGACGGTCATCATCACCTGCTCCTGCACGCGCTGCCGGCCCGACGTGCCGGTCTTCATTTTCTGGTCGGACGGCAGAGCCAGCGTCGAGTTGTCCTGGTCCTGGAAGCATTCGTAGGCCAAGGCCGTCTTGAGCGGCGAGTGGTTCATGGCGGCGCGGGCGCGGGCGCGGGGCGCGGGCCTGGAGAGCGAGCCGAGAGGCGCGAGGTGCGGGCGGCTGCGGGAGCGGGCTCTTCTCGCGCTCAGCGGCGCCCTGTGCCCATAGAGCGACGGTCCGCGCGCGCGACGGCTCTCGGCTGCTCCCGGCGCCTCCACCCGCCGTCCGGGCCCCGGCACTGGCGGGCCCGCCCTCCGCCAGACTGGATATACCGCCCCGCCCCGCGCCGCCCCCTCCCCGCCGCGGCCGCTCCGCCGGAGCCCCGGGCGCCGCGCCGCGGGCCGGGCGCTCTCGGGGGCAGGGCCTCCAGTCCCGAACGTGGACCGTGGCGGCTTCCTCCTTTCTCTCCCTTTGTCCCCGTCCCTCTCGCCGCGACCTGCCGAGGTGAGGCCGCCTCCGGGGAGCCGCCCTCTGGCCCCGTCCTGCGTGCTCAGGAGTAAAGCGTGCGCTCAGCTCGGGCCGCGGGAGACTTCTCTCCAGGAAGAGTCTCCACTCCGCGCCCCGCACAGCCCGGTGCCCGCCTCCCTTCGTCCAGGAGTCAGGGCAGAGACCAGCCCTGCGAATGGGGGGCTCCCAGGCTGACGCAGGAGCACCGCCCTGTCCAAAGGCTCGGCTCTAAGACAGCTTCCGACCTGAAGGGTAGGGGTGGGGGCCCGAAGCCCACCCAGGACCAGACGTGAGATGTAAAACCATAGGGTAGCACCCCCACCCCCATCCGGACATGGGCTCCCCAGGGCAACACCGTGTGAACTGTGGGTGTCTCTGAAACTCCAGACTCGACTCCTAAAATGGGCTCCTGGCCCATCTTAGGGGCTCAATAAAAGTAGGTTTTAACAGATGAATGAAGACTGGCTAACGTAAGGTAAACTAAGGTAACATGAACTAAGTAACTCGAATCCTACCCAGATCCTTACAGAAAAACTGGAAGGTTGCCTGACCTTTTGAAACTGCCTGGTGGTGGATTTATTACCCTAGGAAGTTGCATCTGTTCTCCCAGACTCCCTGGGGACATGTCTAATGATGCTTCATTCCCATAGCCTTGTCTTCAGGCCCAGACGTCGCTGGCACCAGGGGATCTGGTGTGTAACAGGAACTGAATATTTTAAACTTACGTTGATGGAAATCTTTCTAAAGGCCGCGCACCCTGCCTTCCCCCGTTAAGCAAAAGACCCTGAGCGGAGTTGTGCCCTTCCTGACATGCCGGACATCCCGTGCTGAGCCGCAGTGCGGCCCAGGGGCTCCTCCAGACGTCACCTCTGCTCGCCTTTCTAGCTGACACTCACAGCTCATGTCCTTCCCTTTCCGTTTGCCCTTCTGCCCTGTAGAGGGGACTCTCAGAAGCTGCACTTGTCAGGGATGCTGTGAGGAAGAATGGAGAAGCCTGAGGACAGTCTTAGGGCCCACGTGACGGTCAGCCTCTGGCTGCCTGAGACGTGGGTGTTACAAGCAGCAGCCCAGGTGTTCTCCATAATGCATTCCTGGGAGCCACGTGCAGAGCAGAATATCGTAAAGCACGTCATGGTTTCAATAGAAATAGTTTGATAATTGAGGGTTAGGTCCCTAAGAACTTAGCGTCAAGTAAGCCAGAGACGTGACCAACAGTATGTCATAGATAGACAAGTCCACCCCCTGCAGACCTGGACCATCGCTTCCAGCTGTAAGATCCCACTTCGAGCCTCAGTCTGTCGGAGCTGGGCATCATCGGGCAGTTCCCTGACCCAGAGAGCAGGTAGCTTGCCCCTGGTCACCAGTTAATACATGGCGAAGCCTCCATTCCCATCAAGCCTGGCTCTCCCCTCCACACGACCAGCCTCCTTATAAAAGCCCTATAAAATGGGCCTTAGACTTCAGGGCACACCGGTGACAGAAGCGCCCCATCGTCCTGTAAAGTACACGTGACAGCACATAAAAAAACAAGCCCATTGTATCACACACTTGGACCATCTACAACCTAATATGCTGGCCATAATAAATGCTAATTACATCTTTAAATAACGAGAGTTTGCTACCTGTAGGATGCAGAAGGGCCCTGAAGGAGGTCACGGGGTAGCCCATATCTCTATAAAAGGCCACACTTAGCCCCTGGAGGTTGAAACTGATTATCTTTAAAATTGCTTCCAGATATGAAGTTTTTCTAGATGCTTCTCTATGATTTTGATATTAACATTGTGATATATTGAAAGCCATGGCAAGTATTCACTGTGCTCCCAGCAGTCAGCACAGTCTGGGCCCTTACATGGAGAGCCTGGTTTGAATCCTTATGATCCTCCTATGAGTTGAGTACCAGCGCCATCATCTTTCTTTTTCAGGTGAGCAAACAGGCGTGGCAAGGTCACCAGGCTGGTAAGCTGCCTGAGCCCAGGCAGCCTGGACCCAGCCCCGGGGTTCTTGGGGATGGTGCTGGACCGCCTCCTTGGGATGTCCCCTTGACAAGCAGCGGCTGAAAGCCTTCCGTGGACCAGCCTTTTAACAGCATCTGTTCCATCACATGGCATGAAAGCCGGGCCTCCGGGGACCCAGCTCCAGCCGCGCCCCTAGTTCACTTCACGATGCTCTTCTGGTCTCCCCCTTTGCCCTCCCCACAAGTCTGTGAAGTGAGGAGGTAGACTCAGTAGCTCCCAAGTCCACTGTCACTCTAACGCCCAGATCAGTTACTTTGTCTCTCCTACCTCCAACATCAAGGAGAAGAGAAGTGTGGACGTGGATGTGGGTGGAGGGCGGGCCGGTGCCAGAGCCTGTCCACATGCAGACACGATTTTAACTCCCCGCAACCCTCCTTAACCCTGCAAGAGATATGGCTTTGCCGACGAGGAATCACACTCAGAAGCATGAAGTCAGTGGTGCAGCGGAGATCTGAACCCATCAGACCTCCACCCAGGAGAAAGAAAGGAAGGGACTAGGACTCCGCTGGTGGCCCAGTGAGCAAGTCTCAGCTCCCAAGGAGTTGGCCCGGGTTTGATCCCTGGCCAGGGAACTAGATCCCACAAGCTTCAATGAAGAGTTTGCATGGCACAACTAGAGATCCCGTGAGCCACAACTAAGACTCCATGCAGCCAAGTAAATAAACAAAAGTTTTAAAAAGAAAGGAATCGGGCTCATACCACAAGTCTGGGACCACAGTGAGGTTTATTCTGGCTGGAAGACTGGTCTCAGGCCACAGCTCTTGCCATCCATCACCTCTCTTCTCCACCTGCCCCAGCCCTGCCCCATGGGGCCCTGCCTCAGAAACAGGCTGAGAGAGCCACAGTCCCCAAGGGGAGAGCAGAGGTCATGAGGACCCCTGAGATGAGCCATGCCTGTAGATGGTAAAGACACCTTAGTGGGTGTGGGTGATTTGAGTTGCGAGGGTGTGGGATGGTCTAGGGAGAAAGCATCTTGGAAGAAGTTAACCCTGACTTGATTCGGAAACAAGAGTTGATTTCATCCTCATAGATGTTGCGATGACGAGTGCGAATGGGGGTCTCACTGTCTGCCCCTGCCCTGCAGGCTGCCTGTGACCCCGAGTCCACCGTTCTCAATGCTCCAGCCTCGCAGCTTTGTGACTGAGAAGTGGACGACGGGTTCCTTCATTTGACGGTGCTCCGTGAGGACCGCCCGCTTGGCAGGCCCTGTTCTAGGACATGCTCAAAGAGACCAAGTTCCCCGGCATCCAGCTCACCTCCTGGAGGGGCGGGGAGGCAGGGGCAGCCGAGCCAGGCAGGAGCCCTGGCCTGGGTGGAGGCTGAGAACAGGCCCCTGGCCTGTGCTTTTTAGGGTTGAAACGGCTCTTTGCTCAGTTTCCAGTCCCCCAGGTGAGGGGGCCACCTCCACCCAAACCCCAGATGGAGCCAGAACTGGCGGCTTCCTGGGTGGACCCCTGAGCTGGAAGGCATGGCCCGCCTCCTGCAGCTCAGCCCTCTGGTGCCTGCCTTGCCTGCCCGCACCTGCCCTCCGTCACAGGCAGCTGTGGGCCACCCACTCCGCCTGCTGTTATGGCTGAGTCCCGGTCAGTTAGTGGGGTCCCCAGTGGCTCCCCAACTCGGGAGCCAAAGATGCTTCCCCGGGGGCCCCGCTGCCCCTGGCAGCCTCGCAGCCTCCCTTATCCTGCCCCAGCCCTGCCCGCTCTCCTAGTGCCCCGCCTGCTCTGTATCTGCATGGCAGTCCCTCCGTGTGCAGCCCACTCAGGCTGTCCTGTGAGCCGTTCCGGGGCTAAAGGGCTCCCAGCGGGCTGGTGCCCACGGACAGCGCTGAAGCACGGCCCCCACCCTCTGAGGGCGTCTGGGACGGCCAGAGGCTGGCGCTCAGGTGGTCCACTCAGCCGTGTGGACGGTGGGTGTAAAGGCCACAAACCAGGAATGTCCTTGGGACCCACAGTCCAGGCGGCCTCAGGGTGTGTGCGGGAGGTGTGCATGGGTGGGCACAGGTGGGCAGGGTCCCGCACAGCTCTGTGTGGCGATGGGAGTGCCCTCTGTCTGCTGACTGCGCCAGCTACAGCACAAGGGGTGGGTAAAATAAGAACCGGGGATTAACAGATACGCACACTGCTATACCTGTGGGTCTCCGTTTGAATGCAGAGTTCCAAAGAATAGCAACGAGAGATAGGAACGCCTTCCTCAGTGATCAGTGCAAGGAAATAGAGGGAAACAATAGAATGGGAAAGATTAGAGATCTCTCCAAGAAAATTAAAGATACCAAGGAACATTCATGCAAAGATGGGCTCAATAAAGGACAGTAATAGTATGGACCTACAGAAGCAGAAGATATTAAGAAGAGGTGGCAAGAATATACTGATCAGATCAGATCAGTCACTCAGTCGTGTCCAACTCTTTGCGACCCCCTGAATCACAGCATGCCAGGTCTCCCTGTCCATCACCAATTCCCAGAGTTCACTCAAACTCATGTGCATCGTGTCGGTGATGCGATCCAGCCATCTCATCCTCTGTCGTCCCCTTCTCCTCCTGCCCCCAATCCCTCCCAGCATCAGGGTCTTTTCCAGTGAGTTAGTTCTTCTCAT